AATGGTGTGTTTATATTGCTTCGTTAAGTGTTGGAAGGGATTATATAACGCAGATCCTGTTTACGAATTCATGACTGAAGGAAGATCGTCTATAACCTCTCTTCGTTTTCAAAGCGCTTAATAATAAGTAACTTGAAGGTTTTTGATTCATTGCAATTTCAAATGAAGAGAAACTCATTAACTCAGTTATCAGTCAACCGGGAACCTCGTATCCTTTGTAGGAAACGTGTTAAAACAAAAATTTATTATAGCACACAATATGGACGAATAAAAAGAATGGGAAAGTGGCATGTTTATAGGGGGATTAAAGTAGGTGTGTGGAAGCAGCCATCTTACCTCAAGGATTACCCCTGTCTAATGTAGTGTGGGACCCCGTTTATCCAATTGTCGGCATGCTGCCAGGTTTTTCTATACTAGATTTCAAGATTTTTAGCTTAGTTTACCCCAAATTCCCCATTAGCAACGTGTTTGGGCTGACAAACTGCCAAAACGGATTAACTGTCTTGCGTCTGATAAAATGCAGCAAGTTAATGTTAATTTAAGGTTCTTACAGAAAGCGTGATCCAAGTAGGCCTTTACTAACCAACATTCGTCAGATAAGATGAGTGAATATACATTATAAAGTGCGTAAGATATATGAATGGTAAAAATAAGGACCAAGAAGCGTACCGATTAGAAAGTGTTTTGCTTTCTTTGTTTAATATCATCTGACAATTTTGCTAACTAAGACGTGGGAATCTGCTTGTGCGTTTGGTAGAATGCTAGAAGTCAGCCCAAGTTAAAATATTTCTTTCCGTAATTTTCCTTTAGGTACAAATTAAGCTCCGAGGTAACTTACCGTTTCCTCCGTGATGAAGAAGCCGAGGAAGAATTCAAAAATCGCTACAACACCATGAATATGTTCAACGTGATGGTAAGGCGGAGATTGAATCCTGATGACGATGATGATGATGGTAACCCAAAAGGTAAAGATGGTGAAGACGAAGCAGCAAGCACTTCCACCAAGTCTCGTTTAACCAAAAGGAAAAAGATAAAATCCACAAAGCCTCCTCCCAAGTCTTCTAACCTTCTTCTTACTGAATTAGACGAGTGGAAGGTCTATGGAAATGACGAAGATGACGAAGAGGATCTTGAAAACACTTTGCTAACTACCAATGGTAGTGGAGAAGGGAGTGAAGAGAAGAAGAAGGCTACGATATCAGGGGACGGAGAATCAGTTATAAGTGCTAAAAAACGTAAAGAGTTGGAGAATAAGAGAAAACGCGCTGCCACTATTGTAGCTCGTAAAAGACGCGCCACGAAACAACGAGCTAGGCGACGTCGCAAGGGTGTTGTCCTGCATAGTTCTGATGAGGAGGATGATCTCTTTGAGGAGGCAGTGGATGAAAGTGATCCGGATGATCATGAAGGCGATGAGGTGGACTACATGACTGACTCTTCGTCTGATGAAGAAAAGCTGTCGGAGGAGGAGAGGGAGCAGATTTATGAGGAACAGGGTGTTGATGAAGAGGCTGGATTAAAAGCTCTACTCACTGATATAAGTAGGTTCATTATTTGTTCTTATTTACCCTTTATCTAGATTTACTTATATTATACTGGAAGTTGAGATATTCAAGCGAATAATTACTACTGTGGTGTTGAGTGACATAAAAGCAGATAAAAGCACTTCATATCTAATTTAACGATCCTTTGGATATATCTGAACCAAAAGTAAACACAATCGAATTTCACTATTTTATTTATATCAATGGCAGGCGTTTTGATAGTTATCATTAGCCCTTTAGCTGACTTTGGGCTTCACAGAGAGGAGGAGGAGGAACATCAAAGTGACAAAAGTCGAGAGGGGGGCAGAATAATGATTAATAGATGTAAAAGAGACAGACAGACATATAGGCAGGAAAAAGGTAATGTGAGTACTGTGAAGGAGTCGAATATGACATGCAGTGAGGTGATGGTAGTTTGGAGTCAGAAATCAACTGCCAGTTAATAGACTTTTTGCCGTATGAGTATACGTTGCCCAGGGTGCACCACGTGGAGGTAAGTCTATCGCACACCCCACAATTACAATATGAGTACCCAAACAAATATTGAGAATGGAAAGATGAAGCATCATCCCTGTTGTCTTGGCAGTGTTAAGTAACTTGAATAAGGAGGAGACTAATGCACAAAAATTACGATAGGTCGTGCCAATACTCAGAGGTACTAATTCTTGTCTATTGGTAAAGTTGATAAGAATTCAATATCTCTCCTAGACTGCGCGGTTTAATACTAGATAGGAGGAGTGGCGTCAGCTGGGTTATGATTTTGCTTTCAGGCCCTCTTACGGTATGGTATTAAAGGCAATTTTCTATAAACCCTATTACTATTATTATTAGCCTTGGTAAAACGAACTATTCTTTCACATTTAATTATGAAAAAATGTCTGAAGAAAATGGGTGCTTTAAAGAATATCAAAGGTTGTTTATGATGAATCCAGAATCAAGCCCTCCCTGGAAGTGCCCTCTAGAATGGTCAGGTTGTAAACGTTTAAATTTCCATTCATTCGTATTAAAGCATTTCTTATTATCACTACCAAAATAATTCAAGGTGGCACGTTTTTTATGGATCTTAACATGGCTCTTGTTTTAACACATCGCTACACATAATATTTTATCAGTTTGTGAAACGTCCATGTTTAGGTTCTTACCTAATAAATGCTTCGCATCTGATATAATCTATCTTAGGCAGCTAATTGTATGAGAAACTTTAGATTATCTCAGTTTTTAAAATAGGGAATGTTATAAAATAGGATCATTGCAAACTTACTCAGAAATTAAGCCTGTTCTTCTCTAATTATGCGCCTAGGTTTCTACGTGGAGCATTTCCTCCCAACCCCCCCCCTTCCCCTCCATCAATTTAGCGCCCACTTGCAATCTGTCATACTGGCCGAACATCATTCACCAACTTACGTTCTGAACAGTAGCAATCACCTATCTTTTGATAGACAATATGAGACAAGTCGTAAAGATGAATATGTTCAACGAACATTCCAGGCAGCTATTCTCGATTTTTGAACGAAAATTTCGATTTTAAAGTTGGTCTAATCAGCTCTAGCTGACCCTTGGCCCTTTTTAGTAGAGCGTTTTAAATTGAGACTAACCAAGCCTTATCATTCAGCGGATGTCTACTTACGTATTGGAACTCACGCGAAAAATCTTGTGTTAATTTATCTAATTTATGACATGCTTCCAGACGGTTCACCATAAGATATCTCTATATTTGTTGGGTTAATTTTGCAAATCCATAGAAGGTTTTCAGCATGTTTAGTCGAACTACTGGTAGAATATAGCTCATCTGCATACATTCTAAATGTCAAAGTGTCCGCTCGCATCAAGATGGTTCGAGAGTATCACTTTCAAGCCCCCTCAGTTTAAATACGCCTCATCTAATAAAAGTTTGAAAATAATTTTGAAGAGTACAGGACTCCCTTTTATCTCTTTTCATAGATGATACTTTACTTAAGTCCTTTTCTTGGTCTTAATGACATTTTTGAATCGTATTCGGCAAATTTAGTCGACACAGTCTTATTAATATAGTGAATCAAATAGCTTTAATAAGACTAAGAAGAGTACTATTCACAATACCAGTAGGTATCTTCCTCGAATATTCTTCTTATGGAAAGAATCGCCTTTCTCAGTGCATTAAAGTACGGAATCCATGTTGATTATTTGGTAATAGCCAACTTATTTGTGACATTAGCCTTTCCCGAACCACAGGTACAAGGTTTTGTTACACGGTGACATGAAGGAGAATAATTCAATAATTTATTAGATCAGTTTTTACTACCTCTTTTTTGTGAAAACATGGTTAATTCAAAACTCATATTGAATATTTAGAAATGGGGAGTTTGACCTGCAAAATCGCTTTGTTTAATAATTTAATATCAAAAACAATTAATTCTAGAACTTTGCGAATTTTCCATTTTATGCTCCATCAGTATGGCCAATGCCTGCTTTGGTTTTACTGGGCAGTTTTATAATGTTTAAGGTTACGTCAATTTGTACTAGTCGATAGCCAAACTGTTCAGCGCGTTCAGTAGAAGAGGCATGAGATTACCCTAAAATATTAATAGCGATTTGA